GTTCTCCTGTGGTGCAAGCAGTGGTGCATCTGTAAAAGCTGTAGAGGGGGTGCAGTTCAGCCTGTAACCTGCCTTCCCACGTGGCCTTTGCAGGGCCATTTTCCATAAAACACAAGGCTTTGTGAGCTACTGAGGATGAAGGGATGCAGTGCCATGATCTGGTGGCTAAGTGGCAAAAGAAAATAAGCACGATGTGCAGTAGGAAGGCTGTAAAAAGGCTCACACTGATGAGGCAGTTGCTGAAATTCTAAAGGCTTTGCAAGTGCCCTTTGAATCAAGTAGCTGTATTTGTTGAGTGTCCTCTGTCAGATGTGCCTGTTGTATGAAAGCAACCAAAGGTTTTCTCTCTCCCTCTCTTTTTCCAGAGATCTTTGCCAAAGTCATCAGAGAGACCTGTGCTCTGGTATTGACCAGCAGCCTGACAGACCTGTCACACTCCACCAGGCAGGCAGTACAATGACTGAGACTGGAAGAAAACATGCCGGAATTGTTTCTCCAGGATGTCAAATACCTCCCAGTTTTGTGTCATTTTGAAGCCTTAGGAACTTCGTTTAGTTATTTTTTTGAATTGTTCAATAAAACACCTGCCAGGAAAAATAGAAAGAGCTTAGTTTTTTTTTTTGAATTTTTGAAAAAAGCACCTGCAAACAAAAATGTTTCAAATAAAGCTGAAGTTTTCTGGTTCCCTTAGGAAATATTTGCACTGTGTTTGTTTGGGTAGCACTTTCCTGCCTTGAAAAAAAAGAGATGGAGAATGGCACCTGCCTTTAAAATGACAAAGTGCAGCGAATTGTCTGCATGGGCCAATGTATTGATGATCTATAAACATTTCTATTATGAGTAACCAACAGGACAATAATCACAAATATTGTTGACAAGAAGATCTGCCTCCAGAGGTTATTAGGTGACATCCCACAGTCTGCAGTAGTTGTGTGTCCAGAAAGCACCAGAGGAATGTTACTGAGGGTCTTGCTCAGTTTCAGCCTTGGAAGCCTCAGGCTGGGGTGGCAAATGACAAGGGGTGCTTGGGAACAGCTCTGCCTGTCTCATGTGGTGGAGGGATGTCACTCACAGGCTCCTACTCGGCCACACATCAGGATGGTCCCAGATACTTAGAAACCTGTCAAGGGAACACAGAAGGCAATAATTAGCTGTTTGCAAGCATTTTCCCCTTGTCACTGTAACTGTGAAGGCAGCATCCCCAGCATTTGTGTGTTCAGTAAGATGACACCCGTGTCTACCCAAGGATTTCCTGTGGTGTGACAGCAGCATCTGCCGTCCTCATATCGAAAAGTGTGCCTTAGTCCTCTGGTCCTCTCACATCCCTCGCCCTATCTCTGACGGACCAGTGGGAGTGGTGAAGAGAAGGATGGTATCCCAAAACAATTGTGTTTACAAGAAAGAATTCTCTCCTGTTTCCACATAATTTCATGATGTAGGAACAGGTCTGCACATGTGCAGCAGTCTCCCTTTTGCAAACTACCTGTTCATGGGTTTGAGGCTCATGAAAAGGGACAGTAAATAAACACCAGCAAAATGTCTGCATTTCCAAAAGCAGTTTCTGTAGAAGTGGCCCCTGCCAGGTGGAAGGCTGGATCCAAGTTCTTGAAGGGAAGCCATTGATCTGGCTGGAAAGAACAGGGCATTTTTCCATGAAAGGCTTTCAGGTTTCACCTCTCCTCATCCCTGCCCCTTACTGCACTGTGCCATCACAAGGATGCACAGAAATGCCCTGGATTTATGAAAACCACAGAAAACTGGCATATTCTGTATGCTCCTACCACCCATCAGCTGTACCATCCCATAC